ATCTTTGTATACATAGACCTGAACACACTGCATTGATTGTCTTTGAATAAATAGACCTGAACAGACTGCATTGATTGGCTTTGTCCCTATGAACCTGAACAGATTCAATTACTTGTCTTTGTACCCATAGACCTGAACAGACTGTATTAATTGTTTTTGTATAAATAGACCTGAACAGACTGCATTATTTGTCTTTGTATCCATAGACCTGAACAGATTGCATTACTTGTCTTTGTACCCACAGACCTGATCAGCCTGTATTAATTGTCTTTGTATCCATAGAGCTGAACAGACTGCATTGATTGGCTTTGTATCCATAGACCTGAACAGACTGCATTGATTATCTTTGTATACATAGACCTGAACAGACTGCATTGATTGTCTGTGTGTACATAGACTTGAACAGACTGCATTGATTGGCTTTGTCCCTATGAACCTGAACAGATTCAATTACTTGTCATTGTACCCATAGACCTGAACAGACTGTATTAATTGTCTTTGTATAAATAGACCTGAACAGACTGCATTATTTGTCTTTGTATCCATAGACCTGAACAGACTGCATTGATTGTCTGTGTGTACATAGACTTGAACAGACTGCATTGATTGGCTTTGTCCCTATGAACCTTAACAGATTCAATTACTTGTCATTCTACCCATAGACCTGAACAGACTGTATTAACTGTCTTTGTATAAATAGACCTGAACAGACTGCATTATTTGTCTTTGTATCCATAGACCTGAACAGATTGCATTGATTATCTTCGTATACATAGACCTGAACAGACTGCATCCATTGTCTTTGTATACATAGACCTGAACAGATTGCATTGATTGGCTTTGTCCCTATGAACCTGAACAGATTCCATTACTTGTCTTTGTACCCATAGACCTGAACAGATTGCGTTATTTGTCTTTGTATCCATAGACCTGAACAAATTGCATTACTTGTCTTTGTACCCATAGACCTGAACAGATTGCGTTATTTGTCTTTGTATCCATAGACCTGAACAAATTGCATTACTTGTCTTTGTACCCATAGACCTGAACAGACTGCATTGATTGTCTTTGTATACATAGACCTGAACAGACTGCATTGATTGGCTTTGTCNAACAGATTGCATTACTTGTCTTTGTACCCATAGACATGAACAGCCTGTATTAATTGTCTTTTTAACCATAGACCTGAACAGCCTGCATTGATTGGCTTTGTATCCATATACCTGAACAGACTACATTGATTGGCTTTGTATCCATAGACCTGAACAGATTGCATTGATTGTCCATGTCCCTTTAAACCTGAACAGACTGCATTAATTGGCTTTGTCCCTATTCACATGAACAGACTGCATTACTTGTCTTTGTACCCATAGACCTGAACAAACTGCATTGATTGGCTTTGTCCACATAGACTTGAACAGACTGCATTACTTGTCTTTGTCCCTTTAGACCAGAACAGACTGA